AAGTATAACAAAGTAAAAAGAGCTCTACACCCGTAATCTCACAGAGTATAGGAATCTGTATCGGTATCGGCAGTTGTGTATCGAAATCGGATCGGAACTGAAAAAACGTGGATCGCCCATCTCTAGTAAATTTCTCAATTTTCAGGGAGTCAGGCCATGTCTGACAGGATTTCCTGAATTACTGCCTCGGTAGGGAGCTTTTGGGGATCTTTTGGCAAGAGAAAATGTAAAATTGTATTTCCTGCAAAAGCTATGCAGACCAATTTGCAGATGCCAGTACGCTGCTTCTTTGTCACATTCTAATGAAATTTTTATGTGTTGCTGTGGTCACAGCATAAGAAACACAATAATACATTCAAAATATTGAAAATCGGTCATGGGTGAAACAAATCTAGTAGGAATAAAGGCAGTTCTTTTTATTCATGAGTTGGTGCCTCTCTAACGCTCATGGTTTAGCCTTCTCTCCAGTGAGCAAGGCTTTCAAAACAGCTGAGAACCCAGCTTGGGTGGGATGCCTGTAATCTGTGGGATGGATCCAAGTGGTTCTATGACGTTCCTCAGTAAGTGTGAGTTCAACTGTGGATCATATAGTGACCGTGTAGCGTAAGTGGACAGTAGGGTGATGCACTGGGACTACAGTCAATACATCTAGGCATCTTTGTATCAGAATCAGGTCATGGTACGTGGAGAGTAGTACTTTCTGAGGTGGCATACGGTATAAGTTTGTCATCCTTTGCTTTAGAGGTTTTAAAGTGACATGCTTTTAAATCATAATTAACCCACTGAGCCATTGTTTTCCGCAGAGACTAAAAAAAACATAATCAGCACTGCTATGATCAGCAATCTCCACTCGTCTACCGAGTGGCATGTTTTATCACCGGCAGTTTAGTGCGTCCGGCCAAATGCTTCGTCTGTCATCTGAAGGCCCTGGTGATTATTGCGCATGCGCGATATAATATCGATATGATATCGCCCAGCCCTGGAGTGAACCCAAGTAATCCTGAGCGGCGGCCCCCAGTGGGGTTACTGCTCTGCCTGCACCTTGTGGAGTTTGCTTCCAATTCAGTGTGACAGAACAGTTTGTTTCCCAGATCCACCAGCCATACATGTATATTTCATGTTACTTTCACTAAGGTACTTTTCATGTTTTGGCCGACTTCCTTCTGTTAGATGTTTAACAGGTACCTTGCACTGTATTTAAAACAGTAGAACTCTGTGTCGATTGCTTTAAAAAGGAGATTGTTCTGTTATAACATCCTAAAATGCTGTCTTGGATAAATGCTGGTGATTGGGAACATGGTGCGTCTGGAAACTAGTGATTTTGTCCAGGTAATGAAGTGTGAGAGATGGGTCCTGCAGGCTTTAGAGCAGCTCTTATGGAACACATTGTCTGTAGGGGGGTATCTTTGATCCCTCTATTTCAGTGTCCCCCACACGCATGCCCCTGTAATCAGGCATAGCCATGTACATACTTGTGCTGTCAGCTTGGCTGCTCAGTGCAACACGCAGCTCTCTGTCAGCTCTCTGTCATTGTCTAACCCTGAAATATAGTCTCTCTCCCTCTCACTGAAAATGTGATGCCCCCCCAATCCCTCCACTCAGACTGATCTTGTTTGCCCCATGTGTTTGGCTCATGCTGTTTGACCCTTTGTGCTGAATCCCCTTTGAAATTGCATGAGTGTCACAAATGGCAAATCCGTAGCGATAATCCAGCCAGCATGCCAGATTATCTGCTTTGTCGGGGGTGGGGGGTGTTTTGTGGCTATACTGTGGGTGCCGAAGGGAAAAGCAGAGCAGGTACTGCAGCATGGGGTGCTGCTTAGACTGCATCCACCCTTGGTGGTCAGATCTGCATTCTAACTTTGTCTGGTAGCCCAGGTGGCTGTGTGATTATGGGATGTCACCTGCTGCTCACATGCGTGGCATTGCAGTGCATGCGGCCTTCTGTTTACTGTGGATTACCACTCCAGTCACTGGTTCAAGTCCTGTGATGTCACTGTTGAGCCCCTGAGCGAGGCCCTTATCTGCCAGTTCCTTGGGGGACCTGCTGACGCTGCTCTCAGTTGCACACTGCTTTGGATCTGCTAAATGAGTGAAGGTTTAGATGTTTCTGGATCCCGGAAGCCTGGTCTGGCACTGACCGGCTCTGTGAGCCGTCAGGATTTCGTGTTTCTCTCAAAGCTGCCCTGGCACAGCGTAGACTGGCTGCTGAGTCGCATGTAAGTGTTAAATATTAGTCGGGCAGTAATACTCTGGCTCTCTAATTGGTTTGTCCCTTCGCCATCCATACCCCCCCCCTCCANAGTTTAATACTAATAAAGTGCATAATTCCATATATGTTATTTTGTTTCAGTGTCTTGAATATAGAGTATAGTACAATCCACCCCCCCCCAGCCCACCATGAAGCAGGTCAGCGTCGCATTTTCCTGACCTACTCCCTAAGGGTGTCTTCATGTGGTGTAGAGTAACCTCGTGCTTTAAAACTGTTTTTTTTTGTGTCTGCTTGAATGTGTTTGTATCAAAATATTCTGCCTTTGTTTGCATTGTAACAAGGTTTTTTTTTTTGTTCCACCAACATGACTGGATTTTGCTGTTGTCTCACAATACTCCCCTCTCCTCCTTTTACTAAAATTGGTCAAATTTAGCAGGGTTCCTTTCGCGTTGGCAATCAGATGGTTTACAATATGCGTCTGGAATGCAGGGTCTTATCCCGTGCTGCCAGAAATAACATGCAATACTACTGTCAACCTTTTAAATATGATTTTGTGGTTATTCTGAGTGGGACCCTAGTCTCCCTTTACAGCAGTCGAGCGGTTTCTGTGATGCAGCAATGTCACGTAATGTTTCTGGACAGAGACCCTAATTAAAACTTCTGCACAGAGCTGAATGTGAGCCATACCGGATCAGGGCCGCCTGTTGGAGTTTGGCCATGGGGTCTGCCAGCCAGCTCACAGCGCCGAACGCTGCTGCTTTAGTATGAAGTCTGAGATCCTCTGAGAGTTGCTGAATCTAGCTGCTGCTCAGTGATGCAGTTTTGTAGTAGAAGTTTCTCCTTGAGTGATTTGGTGTCAGTTAAGCCAAAGCATTGGGTGTGAGGGTTTTTTCCCTCTCTCCTTCGGTGGTACATGTACAGTGGCAGGGAAAAAAATTGGACCCTCAAACTGTTCCCTTTGTCCTACAAGGCTGCTTGAGTTTGTTGGTGGATTATGTGGCTGCTGGCTAAGAAGCATATCCAGTTTGGCTCTGTCAGCTGCATACAGCGTTTCCTCAGAAAGGTACAGCCCATTAGCATCAGGGTGAGTAAAGCAGAAACTGTAGCTGTTATGGCATTCGATAGGATGCCTGTTGGGGCAGGGAATGCTGGCAGCTTCTGCATGATCGGTTTGAATCAAAGGGTTATGACAGGGCGTGGCTGCTGTTTGTGCCGGCGAGTCTGACGTCATGGGCACCACTGCCCCTGGCAGCTGCGTCTCTCCGAGGTTATGCATGTTTCCCCCACCAAAGACAAACGGGGCCAGATACTGCTTCTGGTAGAACGTGATGTCTAGATTTTTGTCCTGGATGAAACCCACAGGTGGTCTGCATTGTGTGCTTTGGCAGTGTTTGTTCAGAACTAGAGAATCTCTGTGGGAAGTCAGCCTGTGAGCTCTGTAGTCGGCTCAGCTGAAGAACAAGCCGCCTGGCCCGCTTTGTCCTTACAAGGCTTATGCAGGCCCCGACACGAAGGTCACATGGTCTCCGTCGCCCAGGTGGGTGCCTGGACCTGCTCTGGGCGTTCAGTGCTGCCAGGAGGCACCATAGGATAGAACAAGTGAATCTGCGCATCTGTTGATTGGCCGCTCCTCCTTGTTTACAGAGCGCTCGTTTTGTCTGCCTCCTCTGCCATCTTGATTATCGCTAGTCCTGCTCATGTCTGCATACTGTGGCTTTTGCCATGTGCCATGTGTGTGTTCATTGTGACTAAACGTGATGGGGGTCTCTAAGGACACTGAAATATCGAACTTCATCCACATGTGATTTAGTTTTATATTTTGACAGGAGGTATCATTTCTCCTTTGCTAGTCATACAGCTTCTGTGTACAGATAGTTGAGCATGTTTTGTAGAATACTACATGGTTTACACATTCTTATTCAATTTTTATTCAAGATGGTGGGAGAACAAACTCAGAATACGTAAAATTAAGGGGCCAGTAAGTGGTATGCTGACCTTCAGGGGAATGAGATCACTTTGATACTCTGGATTGTCAGTAATCTGTTTTTCTAATACAGCTGGGCGAGGGGGGGAGAGAATGTGTAATTCATAAAGCCCCCACCCCCACATTCTGTGATTTTTTTTATTATTATTATTTTTTTTTTTCTAATTTTTTTTTTTTACATTTTTTTTTTCCCGCAAACTGAACTTGTTCCTCTCCTTGTCTCCAGGTGGCGCTGCTGGGAATTGATATCGTCGGTGCCTTTGTGGGCCGCTTGTCGGACCGCTTCAGGGGCTTCTTGGGGACTGGTAAGTTTCGATCTGCCTCTGCTTCTGGGCTGCAGTCGGTGAGGGTGTTTAGGGGCAGGAGCATCGTCCTGCTGCCTGGTTGGAGAACAGCTCAATGACTATTCAATTATTTCTTCTAAGAGAGTAATTTCGTTGTAGGTATGTGTGTGCTTGTATTGCCTGACTGCCCCTTTCCTGTTAGTGGTTGGCAAGGGTGAATTCCGTGAATGTGGGTAATCACATGGACGGTAATCATTAGCGCATTTTGTGTCCTTTATGGTAAAGTACTGAAGATGCTTCTGCAGCATCAGCACTCATGCCCTGGCAGTGGGTCATGGCTGGCCGTGAATGGCAGGGATGCAAGCGCACCATCAGCGTGTGTCTCGTGCTTTGCCTCTGTCAGAGTCATGCTTTACATGCTAACCAGTAGGTTGATTTTCTGTTTAACAAGAACAGAAGGTCAGTTTAATTCCTTCCTGTGCAGGGTTAAGCTTTTGAGTTTCGGGGCTCTTGCAGGGAACTCCCAGGCGTTCCCTTGCTGTAATGAGTCAGAACTCATGCATCCTGCGTCAGTCAGTCCGTAAAGCGGTGTCGAGGAAATGACTGCAGAACTGTCCTATGTGAGACACTGTTTTTGTTTGCATGTGCTGTTCCCTTCTGAGGGTGACTGTCTGCTCTGGCCTTACCCCTCCCCTCCCTGAGTGCCAGGTGTGTCCATTACGAAGCTGGGTGAAGTGCGGGGATGGCATACGGGGGTGTTACGGCCGATGCTATAGTTAGCCTGTCTGTGTTTCATCCTGGGGGGCCAGGTCAGGGTCACTTCTGTGAGGATCTCGTAAACATCCTGTGGCTGTCCCATTAAAATATGATCCGTATGTGTGAGCATGCAGCTCGTGTCGCAGTATAGAAACACACGAGATCTGGTGGAACCTCACTGCTGCTGTGGCTGGGATCAGCGGGCGCTAATTCAGGCGTTTCCCCTGGCCCAGCTCATTATTATAAAGTCTCATTCAACTGGCACCCTGAGCTCCAGTGAGTCAGTACAGGTACAGCGAGTTAATCAGCAATCTTAATTTTCAAAATGTTTATTCTAACCTAAGCCAAGAATGTTTGGCTCACTTTTTAAGTTATGTTCCACAATAAATATGCCTCATTTAATAAGTTGCATTTCTTGGTAATAATGATTAGTAATTATTAGCACATGATTAAAGTCTTCACAATGGCATGACGCTGAGTGAGTCCTCCAGTAATGTTCCTGTGCTGCTGGCACTGGTCATACACTGTTCTGCTCTTTAATAACAGTTCCTGCATTAGCAAACCAAGCCTTCTATGTAATATCTCCCTTTTCAAAAAATGGGTCTCACCAGCCTCCTCAAACTTCATTGCTGAGTCATTAATACTCAGAAGTATTTTTAGGTGTCGCCTTGATTATTTTGCCCGTCTCTCTGTCTGCCTCTCTCTCTGTGTTTGCCCCCCTCCCCGCCTCTCTCTCTCTGTCTGTCTCTCTCTCTCTGTGTCTGTCTCTCTCTG